CCTAGCGCACGCATTCTCGCTCGCACACTCATGAAATAAAATAACGAATTTTAAAACAAAGAGGCGCTAACCAAAGGGCGGGCACACGCACCTCTCCCAGGGCCGGGCGCCGACTCTGGGCGCCCTCGGGCCGCGCTCCCGGCTCGCCCCGGGTCCCCGCCTCTGCGCCTTGGTGACCGAGGCGCACTGGGGCGCGGGAGCCCGTCTGGTCTCCGCGGACCCGCTCCCAGAGCGGAACAGACGTGATCGGCTAAGTCACAGCGCTTCGGGACACGCGGCAGCGTATATTAATGGGCACCCTTGGGGTGTCCCCTCCGAGGGAGCTCTGACCCGAGGGACTGACTTGGCTCCTAATTTCCCGGCCACGCCCCCAAACGCCGACTGCTCGCCCAGGCTCAGGAGTGTTCGTTCATTTTCACGCCCGCCGTGCGCAACCTTCCAAACGCAGGAGGGGGAACGTTTAAAGACATTTAAATAAGTGGGTTCAGAATTAGCACTTTAAAGCCAAGTTTAATTTATACTGTGCGCAAGAAGCGCTCTTTAAAGACGAGGAGGCAGATTATGGTATTTTTGTAAAAAAGTGCTTTTACAAACGACTCCTGCAAATTTTCAAATGTGCGCCCTGCCCGGGAAAATAGAACCAGTGAAATCCTATGGCCACGCCCCATGCCATGCAATCATTACTTATTGGCTCCGACAACAATAAGAAAATTGTTTCATTTACAAATTGAACTGTCCCTAAGTATGTTCTTAATAAGTGGCAGGTCTGAGATTCTCGTTTAAGGGAGAGGGAAAGGGACACCCCCCTCCTCCCCCAGGTGCCAGTTGCAGAGTGGCGGCTCCGAGGACTTAATTTGGAGCCCACCCACCTCCCCGGCCCTGCGTTTATTTTCGTGATAAAGTTAGTTATGTACTTGGGAGGAAACTATGTCTTCCATATATAACTCCTGGGGGGAAAAATGAAATCTAGAGCTACTTAACTAGCAAATTTTGGTGCCTGAGACCCAAATCACACTTCAAATGTAACTATTTTTCCCATCTTTTCCAGGACCAGAAAGGAATAATTTGCCAGCCCTAAAGCACAGTATTTCTTTCAATCTCCTGGAAAATGCTGTCGCATGGAATAGTGTTTGCCTTAATTGTATTTTGATTTAAGGATCCAAATGTTTTCTTAATTTAGGTAAGTACAGTGCTTTTTTTTTTTTTTCCTTCCCAAATAGTCAGAAATAAAGTGGTTTTGTTCTTTTACTCTCTTGGGATGTTAATAAGGATGGCAACAATAGTCCAGGAAGTTGGAAAGCAAGCATTATTGAGTTATAATGCCCAAATTTAACTTTTTTTTTCTTTCTTAAACTTAACAGTCTAAACTAAATAGAAAAAGTTCAAAAGAAAAACTGGAAACCCAAGTGGTAATAAATTAGGAAAAATTTGAAACAATCTTCTCTTTAGTAATTGATGTCCTTAAAAATATAATACCTTCCCTTATTTTTTAGCAAATTGCTTCCCAGACACACTTTGCAGTTTTGTGGGGTTGTTTTTTAAGTCTAATTCTCAATTCAATAGCTCCAAATTATTCTGATAAAGGGGCCATAATTGCAGAGTTTTGTTTCTTGCTTTGATTAAAGGTTCTGTACAGTATTTTGTTCCTTAACTAAACATTATGTTTTGTGGACTTTAGTTTTATTTAAAAATCACAGAGCCACCTAGCGGCTCTTTGCCGCCATTACAGCATCCACCTGGGGAGGGATCTGTGAGGCAGACACACCCTCTAAGGGCTTGGAAGTTACACTTTGCTATTTTCTAGCATATCTTAATTAGGTAAACTTAAAGCTAATATTGGTCATAGCCTGGGTTTTTTAATGTCAAAATGATATTAATGGTTTTAAAATCTCTATTTTTTAAGATTAAACAAATTTAAAAAAAACAAGTTCCCCATAAAAATGTTTTGTGAAAATGTCTTTTCACCAAAGAAAAGATGTAATCAAGGCATTTGATTACCAGTATAAAATAAGGATAGATTGTTAAGTGTTTTTGTCACTGGAAAATAAACATTTTGGGAAATTATTCTACCCAAAGAAAACACCTCATTTATTTTCCACCAACATTTTGTAACATTCTTGTTGCTTCTTTGAAATAGCTGAGTGATGACAGTGATTTATA